AAAATAGAAAGGACAAGGAAAAGCCATAAAGTTAACCTTACACCAGAACAAGCCACAACAAGTTCAAATGCAGCATGAAGTACGCTCAACAGAGAGGAAATACTTACGGGTTGGAAATCAAAAAAAGCTGCTGCGATCACATCTTTTGCTCCAACCGCTTGTCCTTCATAGTCGTCTTTGATGCGATGGTATACTCCAATTATGTTGTCGAAAGACAAATTCGATCCACTATGCCCTTGTAGTTGATGAAGGATTGGACCTAGGTGTTGTCGTTTCAATTTAGACAACAAATTATTAGAGTTCTTTGGTCAACCGGGTATTCTCAGTCTGCCATTCAGTCAACGTCTGGATCAACGATTGCTGAATAAAGGAATGCATTAAAAAGGAAGGAAAAATCATACGAAATTATAAGCAGAACATTAACAAAAACAACTACCCTCTGGAAGGCAGGAAAATATAAGGGTACATTGCAACATTCTAGATGAAATTCAACCCAGATAAGTACATTATGTAGGCCTGATGTTATTGCTCTTATCTAGTAACTGGAACAAGCATCTTAGCAGACTTACTATTAAGCAACTCTATTCACTAATCATCATCACGTCGTCATCGTCATCATCATTATTATCACTCTGATCATCATCATTATCATCATCATTACAAACATTTTTAACATCATCGTTATTATTGTCAATATCATTATAATCATCATGATATTTTCATTTCTTCCATCCAGTCGCATTCCTTAAAGATATCAAAAAGTACATTAAAACCTTACCTTTAGCAACCGTAAATACTTTTCAGTTGTTATTGTGGATATGCCAGTGGTTTCGGCCATAAACTGTCGTTGACACTCTTCTAGCGAATCGCTATGTACCTTGCGAATTTCATCATTGTCGCACGGGAGCTTACTGGACAAAACCTCCCGCATACGAGTGTTGTAAATATCCAGAGCTCCATTTCTGGCGTCGATGCATTTTGTTTCCACGAACGTCTCCCATGCGGACTGCACGTTTGGAACGTAAAAAACAGAACCAGGAGTGTTAATGGCTTCCACGTACAGAGTGGTCAAAGCAGCAAGTCCTATTATTATTTAGTGAAGTTTCTTTCTTCAGTTAATCTTTTTCTATGTTCTGTTATTTTCTACTTAGATAAAACGATTACAGGAAAACAACTGACCACAATTTCAAATCTTTCGTGATGAGGAAAATGCAGCAGTACACGCACAAATCACAATTTGAACATAACGCACTATAAAGGGTATTCTACGCTACAGCGGATAGCTTATTGTGTATGTTATCATGTCGATATGGAAAATACTTCGGCCGCTGGTATGCACATGCACATGCACACCTTTTCACATTGCCACAAACGGACTGGTACAGAAACCTGTCCGATATGTGTTGATCTAGTTCTAAGGACTTCTTTAAGATCAACGTGGTTGCAGCTTTTGCTCCGATACAAAGTAACCGCTCCGAAATTACCCATCAAGACCAATATCCGGTACAGTGTATACATGCATAGCCTAAAATACCCTGATCAAAAATAAACTCAAACTACTGCAGTTTAGAGCAATCATATTCTAACGATGGATACTAACGTACTCGAAACATGTCAAGCATACAAGTTTTCTTTGTATTCGCTATGTATTATTTATTGAAATTATTTTTATTCGCCACTTAAGAAAAATATACCATAACAATATTTTTGTGTAACAACCCAAAGCTTTCCATAACCATTGTTTTCAGTTTCTTGTAGGACTTAGAATCGCCCCAAGAGAAACTGAAAACAATGGTTATGCAAAACTTCGGAGGCGGGGGAGGGGGGGTTTACAAAAAGATTATTATGGTATTTTTTAAGTGGCGGATGGACATTCTTTGTAATTTGTATTTGATTGTCCAATTAGTTGACAATAAACTCTCCTTTATATAGGAAAAAGATCCAATGAAAAAGTAGCCCATCAGGGTATGAAACGTCAGAACAACGCATTGTTATTAGTTTACATTAAAGACCAGAAACACTTTTTGGGTAGTTTCCATTCCCACTGATATAACCACTATGCTTTTAGAACTCTATTTGTTGATCTTTCAGTCTATACTGAAAGGGTATAAAGACTTGCTACCTTCTCCAGTCACCAGCTGTCCATCAAAGCAGCCGTGTTTTGGAAGCAGAGTAGACTTAAGCAGGATCTTAAATTCCTCCAGTTTAGTAAAGAATTGAGGTCGTACTTGACTCCTATTTTCGTTAAGGGTTCTCATTATAGTAGTAGAGGAGGGACCGGTTACTCCTTTTCTTTGCGGGGGAATTCCATTAACTTTCGGGGGAATAAATTAACGCAGATGACGTCATGCATCTCATTAAGATAGGATGATGTCATACTTTAAATAATGCCCATGACGTCACGCATGCCGTTAAGATAGGATGATGTCATAGTTTATTTTTAGCTGGCTGACGTCATGCATGTCATATAGATAGTATGATGTCATAGTTTATTTGTAGCTGGCAAGGAGCAAGTGACGTCAGAATTTCCTAGAGTTCACGTCATCAAAAAATATCGAGATCATAATCTATAAACAGAAAAGTGATTTTTATATAATTAGCTATTTGCTACAGTCTTCTGATTAGATATTGTTTGCTATAGTCTTCTGATTGGATATTGTAGAAACTGTCATGTGTTCAAAATAAAAGCGGGCAAATTTTGAATGTGTTATCTTTTCAGATTATACTAAATTAAAAATCTTTAATCATTAAATTATTTTAACTAAAACTAAAACATCAATATTTTAACTAAAACTCGGTTATAAACAAAACCAAGACACGGAGGTTAACTGAAGAATCTTTACTTCAAAAGAAGGGAAAAGGAGGTTAAGCGAATGCGAAATCGTACTAATTTTTCAGGCAAAACATGAAAACGAGGTCGAATCTCAGCGAAGCGAAAAACTGCCTATCAAGCAAAAATGTCATTTTTTGTTTGCTTGACTCTGTAGAAAGTATTCCACAGGGTATGAAAATTCTATACAAAACAACAGGTGGTTCTAAAGTAAACTCTAACTCTTTTGGTTCTTAAATCAACTCCACTCTTGTTCCTAATGAGTGGAAAGTTTATTTATAAAGATAGCAACAAGAGGTGCGATCGCCTGGCAACACATGTGTTCTTGTTTAGCGCTAAAAATCGGATATATAAACAAAACACACACACATACAAAAAGTGGAGCTGAAAACTCTCTACTTCAATTTTGACTCAACATTACAAAAGTGTTTTCTCCGTTCTATCTCGAGGAAACTCAGCGCTTGGTGAGCTCATGGTCTGGTCAATTCACGCGCCGTTAGCGTTAGTCAGTTAATTATGCCGTTTAACAAGCCAAGAGTTGAATACAAATTAGTTCATCTCTACAGCTAGACCCAAAGGAGCACCTTGACTTATTATTGTAAAAACACAAACAATTAATAACTTAACAAGGATCAATTTAAACACGCGACAAATAAATTGACAAGACACGAGATACAGTTTTAAAAACTTTATTGAAAACCAGTGACAAAAAGAGTCAAATACACAGCGATTTTGAAGGGATGGAAATTAGACCTCCTCTTCGTTCTCCTCTTTAGAAGATGAATAAAAATTGGTTTCCAACGTCTTGGCGTTTTTGTGTGTAATTAATCCACAATCGTGACACCGAAGAAAGCCCTCTTTGATGTATTTTCTCTCCTCGGGGATCTGGTGATCGCATATAGGACAAATCTTGTAGTTATAGTGCCAGTGACAAAAGAGTCAAATACACAGCGATTTGGAAGGAATGGAAATTAATTAATCTACATCTTCTTCTCCCATGGAGTACTTGTAAGGTTTGAATTTCTTATGCCGACGTTTCTTCAGCTGTTTGCCATGAGATTTATGATCATCCAAATAATTTAGAAATTGAATCCGACGCCTCTTGCGCTTCGGGCCTTGTGGTGATGGGGTTTCTACTGTGGGAGGAGGGTTCAGGAGAGCAGGATTTAAGGGTGGTGGAGGGGTGAGGCTTTCTTTGTCAGGTTTTTGTAAGATAGCCGCTTGTGTTAATTTAGGTGTTACGTTGAAGGGGTCAATGGGAGTGGAGAATGCTGCCGTTGCTGTCGAAGAATCTTGTGTGCTTGATGTTAAGTCTGGAACAGTGCTTTCTTCCGGTCGGGTTCTTGTATTTAATTGTTCTTTAAAAGCCAGGTATCTGTTTTGCAACTGACAGTATCTCTTAACTTTTTCATCGTCCCGAAGATCGTTTCGAGAAAGCAAGTCATCCATGTTGCCCTGTATTTCTTGCATAGCTGGAAGAAGTGGGACAGGTGAAAGATTTTGCTGCTTTAGATATTTTAAAAGCTCTCGAGGAATATTTTCTTGAAAGCCTGCTTGGTTAAAACCTTCTTCACTGGGCAGGACGTTTGTTCGCAGTCGACAATTATCTTGGGTAGTAGTTTTCAGATCAATCAGCAGATAACCAAAAGGTCTTTTTACAGCCTCCTCGTACTGATTTAAAAAGAAATCAGTTTGCCCGGGATACATTTGCTTGGCAAGAGTCAAGATTTGCAATTTGTCTCGTGGGTTCTTGAATAACACCAAATAATGGCTGTTTAGGCTTATGCTGCGACTACCTTTCCCCTGGTGAAATAGATTCTGCACGATATAAATCACGCTTAGATTGCGATGATGAGAACCACGAGTAAAGAGGTTCACAATTCGCTTGTCTTTACTGGCGTCAATCATTTGATCATCAAACACGATCAAATTCCGTTTGTTCACATCAAAATAGGAATCCTGCTCCAAAGCCGTGGGAATTCCCTTGACGAATTCAATGTGAGGCATGGCGACTAGCATTTCTGTATACGCAGGCTGCCATTGTGAATAACACCAAACGATCCTCTCCGGGGGAGGGTAAATTGTCTCTGAAGCTTGTTGCAATAGCGATCAAACCCAGGCCGTTTTTCCCGACCCGGTCATTCCGGCAATCATGGAGGTGAAAGGGTGCTCGAAGCGAAACCGCACATTTCTGTGAAAATATTGGAACTGTTTGAAATGAGGTGAGACCAGCATTGCGGTGTTTAGACATCACGTGCCTTTGCATGCTATCCTTTCTACTAAATGATTTTTCGCAGACAGAACAGAGCCAACTCATGTCAACTCCTCAGGAGCAGAATGTAGACTGAGAAAATGGTAGCATAATGCGCATTGATATAGTTTTGAAGGCTATAAAATTCAATAATTTTCCTCCACCACCAAATATTTCTATTGTTTTCCCTCCACCACCACCACCGCCACCACAATTCTATTGTTTTCCCTCCACCACCACCACCACCACCGCCACCACAATTCTATTGTTTTCCCCCCACCACCACCACCGCTACCACATATTTCCATTGTTTTCCCTCCACAACCACCACCGCCGCCACAATTCTATTGTTTTCCTCCTCCACCACCACCACATTTCCATTGTTTTACTCCACGGCAGTCAATAATAGACTGCAAACTACTATCATACGTTCAGTTTGTCGCAATGTCTCAAGTTGTCAAGAACAATCGTGGTTTTCTTCAACTCTTAGCTGTTTGTCCAGCTCATCAGCGACAGTTTCTTTTACGGACAGCCAGTCCACAACAACTACATGCATTAGTCCAAGTCTTGTACAATATACTTAAGGAATACATTCTTATCCCCGAAGAAAATAAGCGGAACGTGTTGCCATATAAGGATGTTCTAGTAAACCTAGCAGAAACAAATGTCCCTTACAAAACAAAGAAGCGAATCCTTGTACAAGAGCGCGATCGTTTTATTCAAGACCTATTGGTACCTGCTGTTACAAGCCTAGGATTTTTGATGCTATAAAAGAGGAAACGAAACTATAAGTTACTCATTTGAAGCTACGGTCTGTCACGGGTACTCATCAAAATGAAGAGAAAGATAGATTTGGTTAAAGAAGAACACGAGAGTGAACATGAAGAAAGCGAAAGTTCTGGTGATGAAAGCGAGGATGAAGAACCAAGAATAAAAGATGTTTTGAGTCATCTTTCCCGAGCAGTGTCGGAAAAGCGTGCTTCTGATTTGCTGCATAGTATGGCCGCGTCCAACGATATTCTTTTCTGGACTCCCAGCGGACAATTACTTCCAAATAAACGCACTATTCCCGTCACAAACATCGCCGAGCTAGTTGAGTATGTGTTACTCCCTCATAACAATGAGGTTACCAGGCCTCGTGCACTGAATACGTTTCTAGATGGACTTGCAGAGTTAGGAATCGATAAAGGTTTAATCAAGAACAAAAAATTGTTAAGTGATTTAATAGAAAAGGAAAAACGCTACCGAAATGTAGAAAATACTTCCGATAATGAGAGTAATAATGAGGAGAGTTCATCGGATATTGAAAATCAGGAGGAGGAGGAGGAAGTGGCTTCTGAGAATGGCGTTGAAACTGAAGGCACCCAAGAGAGCGACAACGACACTGAAAATGATAGTGAGGAAACAGAAAGTAGTAGCCTTGAAACGTCCACCACCTTTCACTCTAAAAGTCCCTGTGAACGTTGCGAAAACTCTAATGTGTACTCCACGTTGATCATGAAATGTCCTAAATGCTTTTGGCACGATAACTACAAGATTTGTCCTATATGCGATCACCAGATCCCCGAGGAGAGAAAATACATCAAAGAGGGCTTTCTTTGGTGTCACGATTGTGGATTAATTACACACAAAAACGCCAAGACGTTGGAAACCAATTTTTATTCATCTTCTAAAGAGGAGAACGAAGAGGAGGTCTAATTTCCATCCCTTCAAAATCGCTGTGTATTTGACTCTTTTTGTCACTGGTTTTCAATAAAGTTTTTAAAACTGTATCTCGTGTCTTGTCAATTTATTTGTCGCGTGTTTAAATTGATCCTTGTTAAGTTATTAATTGTTTGTGTTTTTACAATAATAAGTCAAGGTGCTCCTTTGGGTCTAGCTGTAGAGATGAACTAATTGGTATTCAACTCTTGGCTTGTTAAACGGCATAATTAACTGACTAACGCTAACGACGCGTGAATTGACAAGACCATGAGCTCACCAAGCGCTGAGTTTCCTCGAGATAGAACGGAGAAAACACTTTTGTAATGGTGAGTCAAAATTGAAGTAGAGAGTTTTCAGCTCCACTTTTTGTATGTGTGTGTGTTTTGTTTATATATCCGATTTTTAGCGCTAAACAAGAACACATGTGTTGCCAGGCGATCGCACCTCTTGTTGCTATCTTTATAAATAAACTTTCCACTCATTAGGAACAAGAGTGGAGTTGATTTAAGAACCAAAAGAGTTAGAGTTTACTTTAGAACCACCTGTTGTTTTGTATAGAATTTTCATACCCTGTGGAATACTTTCTACAGAGTCAAGCAAACAAAAAATGACATTTTTGCTTGATAGGCAGTTTTTCGCTTCGCTTCGCTTCGACCTCGTTTTCATGTTTAACCTCCGTGTCTTGGTTTTGTTTATAACCGATTTTTAGTTAAAATAATTTAATGATTAAAGATTTTTAATTTAGTATAATCTGAAAAGATAACACATTCAAAATTTGCCCGCTTTTATTTTGAACACATGACAGTTTCTACAATATCCAATCAGAAGACTATAGCAAACAATATCTAATCAGAAGACTGTAGCAAATAGCTAATTATATAACAATCACTTTTCTGTTTATAGATTATGATCTCGATATTTTTTGATGACGTGAACTCTAGGAAATTCTGACGTCACTTGCTCCTTGCCAGCTACAAATAAACTATGACATCATACTATCTATATGACATGCATGACGTCAGCCAGCTAAAAATAAACTATGACATCATCCTATCTTAACGGCATGCGTGACGTTATGGGCATTAATTTAAAGTATGACATCATCTGCGTTAATTTATTCCCCCGAAAGTTAATGGAATTCCCCCGCAAAGAAAAGGAGTAACCGGTCCCTCCTCTACTACTCATTATGTCCTCTTCAGCCGTAGGTGGAGGCAAGTGGAAGGCTTCAAAACCAGAAATGTAACGCAGAATGCTCTCCGCCACTTGCTGACTCTGATGGCGAGATGATGACAATGATGCGGAATCTTGGTCTCTAAAAACCTACGAAAAGGGGAAAAGACTGAACTAACCTGAATAAGACAGCCGCACCCGACGACAGGGAAACCGGGGACAGAGGGCTAAATTTATGACAAAGCCTGGAAAACAGCACGAATCTTACTATGAGCCCGTTTACGGCTGAAAGCTCGATCAACGCTATAAACCAAGGATTAAATTTTGTCATGATCGTATCGATCTTTTTTACTCTAGGTTCCCGATTCATATTATAACTGTATGTTATCAAAATTTAACTTACTGAATCTCGGAATAAAGGCTAAACGTTATCTTATAAGCTCCAGTTACACTTCCCTCGACCTTAAAGCCTTGCCCAGTTAAAACTTGGCGTACCCTGAGTTAAACTTAACCATGTTTTGCGGAACTGAGCCCTGGGAAACAATACATCAGATCGGTAATTAACACACGTTTCCAACCATTTTGCAACAACTGCGTTTCTTGATGCAAAGGTCTTGCATTTTTGTCTAACCTTTTTTAAGGAGTAGTCTTTTAAATCCTTGCAATCACGTGGAATAGCTTGCGTTACATCCCTCAGGAGCCATAGGAAGTAAGGGAACGTTCGGTGAAATAACTCTGACTGTTTCCTTTTGTTTGACACCAACCCCTTGGTTTGATCTAACTTGGATTCTTTGAGAGAGCTTTGCTATAAAACTAGTATGTGTTAAGGAAAATTATGCATTAGAGTTAATTTCTTGAGGTAAATGGGTATTTTCCCACTACCGTTTCAAATAAAAACGATACGTTTTAAACGTCACTCAATCTGCCACTCTCTCAACCACCTATCGAAATATACATTCATCTTTCTGAATAAGAGAGGTATCATGAAATAAAATAAAGCCACAATTAAATGTCCTTGTATCAGAGCTTCACCCTTTTCAGTACTTTTGTCTCCCCCTTAAAAAAGCAGAAGCGAACAAACAATTAGCAAAGTAAGAAATTGCTCGAAGCGCAATGAGAGAGAATAAGGATAAAGCAGGGTATTAAGTAAAGGATACTCTAGTCCTTCGAGAACACGCCTCATGGGGACACCTTGTGAGTTGTAAATAAGCATGGAAGCTAGCAGAACCGTCAAAGTGAATATTTGATTATCACCGTAACCAACACTGGAAGCAGCGTCAATTCCTTCTGAATCCAGCAGCACCACTGTGAATTCTTGGCCTCTAGAATCCTGGAAGTTAAGCTGCAGTTTAGTACGAAAGATTTTTTCCTCGATAATAAGTCAATACGTTGTACTGCCGGCAAACTCAGAAAACCGTCAAAACCGTGAACTCCTGAAATAATTAAGAGGGAATGTTGATTGTGTAGTTACAACAAAGTTTAGGATACGTGGACAAACGTTTAATACCACAAACTAATTATAGTTGCCGTTTACTGCTGAAATTTTTCATAGCGAAAAAAAGAAGGTTTTCCTTTCGACACAGTACAATTACATCCCGTACATTTTTCGGTTGTTAACAGTTTTCTGAATTTACCGGCAATTGCTCATTTTATGGTCTTTTCAAGAGACGACAGCGATAGATAATCCGTCCCATAAAGCTCCTTAAAAGTGGTTGTCTATAAAACTAAATGTAAAAAAAACGTAGATGAAAAATTTGATTTACACCAAATTTACTTAGTGCAAATATGGTGCAAAAAAGTGTAAACTAAGGTTAAACAACGGGAAAGATGGTAAATATCGCATTTGCTCACGAATTTTACAGCCCCATGTAAACCGCTATGCAAGTGCGGTATTTACTATCTTTGCCTTTGATTTCCTCCTCGTTTGCACTTCTTTGCACCATATTTGCCCCGAGCAAATTTGTGTAAATCTAATTTTTCGTGAAGTGAGGAAAATATCAACCATACAGCGTGATTCGAACCCATACACATTGCGTTACTAATGCAATGTTCATATTGATCTCAGTCCTAAACGCTGGGATTAGGGTAATTTCATGTGGTTTTTTATCTTACCGTAAAAAGCAAGATTGTTGCTTACCTTATATTTGTCCGGTACAATCCACAGCCAGATCCCCATGGTCTCTGCAACCATTTCATGTCCAAGAAGGAAAACCTCCGGTTGATCAAAAGCTTCGCTTAAAATGTACGACTTTCCCTTTCTGTAAGGACCGGCTATTGACACCACGCACACTGGACCTAAAAGAGCGAGAAACTTTCTTTCCAACGAGTAACAGTGAAGACCACCCCTGGAGAAGAGGCGGGGGGAGGGCGGGGGCTCCCTATAATGGAGGATCGGCCCTAAAGGGAGATCAAAGGGTAGGGAAATCACGAGTTAAAGTATATGAAAGGGTCGGGAAATTTATATTTTAAGTCCTTAGAAGGGCCTTTAAAATGTTTCCGGAAAAGACTAACTTATTTTAATGTTACAGTAAAATGACTAAAGAAGATTTCTTGTGTTAGCATTATTCTTATCCCCTGTCTTTCCTAATAAGGGGGTGTGTTAGAGAGGTACCATGTTTTTATTTATCTTTATTTTTATTATTATTATTTTTTTTTTTCAGTAAAAGTGTACGAAAGGGATACCTCTTTGGTCAAGAAAAATTGAAAGAAATAGGGTGGGACTACAGGGCTGGGTCTCCCCGTGTCGTTGAGCAGCGCCCACCGAGCGAAGGTAAACGATCTGACAATATCATTATCTTACATTCAGTCTGAGAGTCACAAAAATTTAACCGGTGATGATGATCATTCGGTGGAAGAAAGTACCGGCAGAAGTGTGTTGTCTTATACTCCACATTATTTTTCAGGTTGCCCGCAATCCATGGTAAGAAACGGTCACCTACCTTTGACTTCCCTGATCTTCTCAATGGCTTCATCAACCACATACAGCGACGAGCGTTGTTCTTCTGTTTTCGTACACTCACGAGCGTGTGAATTCCACTTGCAGTTATTTGGGAGACAAAGAGGAATTGCTTTCCGCTCATCACCAGTGCTTGCACTCGCAGTCCCTGTTGCTACTAATGAAAAGTGGTAACCGTCTTGATATTTTTTAACTTAAAAATACTATTTCATAAGCCCGCACCGATGCTTAAATATCAATGTTACGGTGGCTGGAAAACATTGATCCAAAAGTAAGCAGTTGGCGGAGAACACCTAACGAGATCTTGCACGCTGATGATTTAATTCGGGAAACAAAACCTTTTATAATACCTAACATCAACACGAAGAAGTTGTTTTTACCATATCAAGCGAATTTCATCCCAGAACTCAGACTGCAAACCAGGAAACAAGCAGAAAATGAGCAAACGGTTAATAGAGGGTACTTATAGCAGTGATGTAAAACAACTGCTTTATTCAAGAATCTAATGCATTGAACATGAAAGTTTAATTGAGGACACTGTTTATGACCGCCGTTGATAAGTGATCATAAGTGATCATCCAAGATAACAACTGGAAACAACGAACTATTAATATTACTTACCTCCATTTCTATTAACGCTCTTGAAAGCTTTTTGGATTCCTTTTCTTTTCCCGCTTTCTTTTTACCTCACCACTGTATTTACCAACCTATGGCCTGACAGTCTACAAAGAAACATTTAGAAATTCCGCCGCCTAGTAGCAGAAGTTTCTCATGGCGATTAGACAAAACTATGTACCCTTATGTACTCCTTGCCCACACCATGGTTGTGATTAATGTGGATCTTAGACTTTACTAACAACCATTGAAGAGAACTGCATCGAATAGAAATGTTCCTCCAGAAAGTCCCGTAGAGCTCCACTGGTTCCAAGCTTATCATCACTGACTACCCAAGCACGCAATTTTTGAAAGGAATTTCAATTGCAATACTAGAAGACTTCAAACATTGTTCATCGCCAAACAACTGCGCAGTTACGAAAACTTTGCACCTAAACGCTATATACTAATGAATGCATTTGCATTTAATTGGTTTGGGAAAACCCCAGCTGCGAGACATTTCACTTTCAAATCATATGCTAACCTACATGCCTCTCACGCGTGAACAAACAATTTTGAATTTTTCATCGTAAAGATCACAAAGGAAATTACATTTAACATGTTACATGCTGGATGGAATATTTCCCTCAGACCATCCATACGTAATATTGTTTATTAAATATGTGTAAAAAATTAATATCTTCCGAAGGACAAGGTGCCAGGCTTTAAATGTATAAACAGATAATAGTGGAGTTCCGGGAATACTACTGATAGTTTCAATTTCCGGAAGAAATATTGATAAGTGTATATTTCAAACTGAATGAAATGAAATAAAATAAAATAAAACAAACTTCGATTGTTGAAACTCATCTGTGTTCTACAATACTACTATTCGGAAATTAACATCTGTAGCTCTGAGAAGGACGGATTATCAAGGCTTTTAATTTGCTTGCTTTTCTACGGCTGAGGGTAATGGAAAGACTTCATGATTCTAAGTACCATGAAATGTTATCATCAATTAAGCCTATCACTTCACCTGTTAAGATTTCGACCATCAACAAAGAGTTTTACTTTGCTATAAGGGTAAGGTTGAATTAGAAATAAAAGTACGTTTATGCTTCAGTTGTTAAGACTGATCTTCGTCTCGGTCCAACACTTACCGAATGAAACATTAAGCCTCGGTTCAGTCGTGGTACTCAAATTTTAATGAACGGAACCAAATTCAGTTGAATTTCGGCCGACCAAAATTATTACCATCCAATGAACTTATTTAGACCCAACCGAACTGAATTCAAAAGGAGAGAAATACCCATTTCGGTCAAAATACGATATTTATAGAAATTTCTGCCTTAGAAAGCTCAGCGTCTAAACCAAAGCCGTCGGCCAAATTCGCTCCAAAGTCAAATCTCCCGGCTGAGCCGTTCCAAATAAACTGATTCAGACGCCGAACTTTTCATGTACTATAAATTTAATGTATTAGGTTTGGCTCATGAACACGGTTCGGCGCCTGAAGCGGGCCAAAAGCCACGAACTTACATTTTCAGATGTTCCAACACGAGGTTGTTCTTATGCGATACAAAACATTTAACACGGGGGGTCGTACAACTTACCTTAAAGGGACTGGTTCACGATAATGCGCATGTGTGAGTTCTGACAGTAGCTGAATGTTTTTCAACCAATCGGAAGCGAATTAGATGCATGCAAGTAAATTTACAAAATTCAAATTCATTGTTCGCGACTCGAGAGTATTTCCGGGCATTTGGTTTGATTTTATTTATCCCCATAATTCAAGTTTATTCTTTGCTACTCCTCAGATATATGTTGCAGCCGATAAGAATAAGATTTACAGCCCTGTACTGCTTTGAAAAAAACATTTACCAACGTGTATTTTTACGAGGTCGTACCCACGCTAACAAAGCAGTCACCGATCGGCAAACAAAATTTGTAAACAAACATCTTATTACTGTTCTCTCAGTTCGCCTTATAAAAATCCAGAAATACCTACAAATAGCACCTGACCGGTGACAGAAACGCACAACGTATGAGTATAAAGATTATCCTTAATTGAGCATAAATTTCAAATGCTTATCAGCAAATAAACAAATTTATTCGCGTTTCATCGGGTCAGTGTTCCGCAAGACAAATGTTATCGAGTAGCACACATAAAGAAACTAGATTATAAACAGAATATTCAGGCAATAATTTATTTTAAAAACATCAATTCTTAAACATATACGATCGTAAAGCAAAGATACAAGGAACATTTCAAGTGTACCAGATCGGTGAAGATCGCGCGGCCTGTTGCGGTATAACCACAGGTCGGAGTCAAAAATCAAATCAAAGTTGAACGAACTCATGCCGTTAAGCACTTTCCAAGTGTCGTGTATACTTTTCATAAGCCACACACTACTCCTAGAACCATACCAGATCGATAGGCTAAGCTTCTCTATCTCCAAAGACTCTTGAGAACGTCCTGTTGCCGGACGGCCACGATGCTCTTCTGAACCTCCATGATCAAAACATTATTTTTTGCGTCTACTTAAAACGTAACCAGTCAAACGACACAACCACACGTTAATCACCACTACCGAAGTATAACTAGACCAGCCAAAGCGACGGATGTCCGAATAAAACGAAGGATTTTCAATGATTGTACCGGTAATGGCGATTTCGAATTTAGTGTTGACCCAACAAATTTATTCTGAAGAGACAAACGGCGCGCATGCGCATTATCGTGAACCAGTCCCCTTAAACTTTTCCTCTTGAGCTCATTAGGCTATACCAACATTTTTGGTAGCATTTTCATATTATACAATGATTTACAAATATATATCGCAAGCAACTTCTGACAGTTCTTGTGAAGTATTATGCTTTAAATGAAAGATTGTTTCTGAGAACAGTGACGTAAGTGACTGTTTTCCGAGTTCTTGGTAGAACAAGTCTGGGGGCGCTCTCCATTTAGTCAAAACATAGTTATTAGAGGAGACTGGTTATGAAAAGCGGCAAACATCAATGATAAAAACAACAGTGCTGCAGTTTATGTTCAAAGCACCGTGAAAGTGCACAATCCTTTGTTTTCTGTTGGCAAATTGTTACGGAATAAATTAATGCAACGTTTTTATTGGTCAATACAATCAAAATGATAGGAATTCTTTTGAACGTTGTGCACTTTCAGGTCCACAAAAACATATAACAAAGGAGTCTGACGGGTTTCATAACCATTCCACTCAATTAACTTTGGTCAAAATTTCCAGAATTTCCGGTTCGGCGGTAAATGGAACACGTTTCGTCGGTTCGTCCCACTTCCCAGAAAATTCCCAGAAAAAGTGAAAAATCTACAAAGGTAGGCCCTGAGCTTATTTTTGTACTGTTTTTAGACTATCACTTACAATGCATTTGTGGCGGTCTAATAGTCGATTTTTGAAAGTGTTTTATGGACTAAACGAAAGTTTCAAGTAGTTTTTAGAATTACGGTACGCGATATACAGTGTATCTACATTCCTGTTGTTTAGGGTACAGTTGTGCAAGAAGTGAAAATGCGAATACATGGTGTATTTGTCATTACGGTCCTTAGGTCATGAAATTTGCCCCTGCCCCGCTAATACGGCCAACCCGTTAATACGGCCAAATTTTTTTGACCCATTTTGGTGACAGTATTAACGGTGTTCCACTGTAATAGCATAGTGACTACAGTGATACAAACAATAAAAGAGCCCACCATACACATACCACGGTGAACAATATTTTTCCTCAGTATTTCTAGGTGCTACTCATTCCTGTTTAAACCTATATATTGATTCCACCGTTCCCAGTGTGCAATAAGCTAAACAGACTTAGAGTACTTTAAAGGAATTATCAGATTAAGCTTCCTTAGAAACATGTTTTGAATATGAATATTCAAAATTTCAAATGTGTGTGAGCATAAGACCTAAATGTTTCTCCGGTTTAACACAGTCGATTTTTTGTTTTTTACAACCTTTAAGCTATAATTTAAATTAAAAAAAAAGATTGCGTTTGCAAAGGAGCGGCAAGGGGAAAGCTAGGGAATAGGCTCATCTACGCGAAGGGGTTTCACACATGCATTCACGGTGAAAACTACTTTCGTTTTCAAGTGTAAATATGATTGATTCGAACAATGAAAACGTCTTTGCTTTGTATTTCCACTCCAAACGTAGTAAAATCAAATCACTTTTCACTTTTCACCTTTCACTACCAGCTGATTATGTCACGGCGAACTGGGTGTATGTCTTTCTCGGAGGTCTAGATATGATTGCACTCACCTGCAGCTACCTGCAGTGAATGACCTTCATTGACAAGCTGTTATCATTGAAATACCGATGTGAAATGCCAATCTTGCGATCACCAGAGTTGTACTGAAGAGGCTTATTTTGTTAGTAATTCGATACGCTGTTACACATGGTAGGCAGCTTTTGGTGTTTGAGCGGACTATTAAATAGCACACAAGTTCTTCTCTTCCATTTCTCAGAAAATTAATGCTCCTGTTGTACGGTGAAGCTTATAGAGCTATGTACACTAAAAACAAGAAAAAAGCTAATACCTTTTGAGAAAACCAAACCACAAGTGCAGTGATTATGAACCCCGACAGAAGTCTCTTATGTCATTATTTTCTAGCCTTCGATGGACTTGACCGAGCAAAATCATAGCACTATCATTCTTAAATAGCTGACCCGAAGATATGTTCCACTTTTAGGCACAGTGAGTGAAGTACAAAAAAAAAAAAACATACAAATACAAAAAGACTGACAAAATCGTTTCTTTTATATGAGCTTTTATTCTTTTGAGGGCTCTCCTCTGCTAATCATTTAGTATTCAGCCCGAGATATTCGATGCTTGCTTGGAACCAAAGAACAAAGCATTCTACAATCAAAACTAACCAATAAACGAGAAACTTTCTCGTACAAATCCTAGTATTAAAAGTGAAGTTTGACCAGTGTCATTTTGATTGTGATTCTGTGGACTAAGGGCACTACTTATTGTAATTATAATAATTTTAAAAGCACTGTTTTGAAAAATCTATATCCTGACAAAGCTTGACCTTTAATGCACGTCTCCCTTTTTTTTTTTTTTTTTTTCTTTTCTCTCCCTTTTTCCTCAGATCGACTTCTCACACTTGTCTCACTGAGCTTTTATACCCAGTGGCGGTTCCAGGGGAGGGACCGGGGGGCCCGCCCTCCTCCCCCTCATCTTACGGTCTGGATGACCACCCACCCCTGCCCTTATCTGAAGGCTTGGATCCACCACTGATACCTAACAGTTGCGTTCATTACTGACTACGTATTCGGGAAAGCCTAGATTCCTAGATGCCTAGCTGCCAGTAGCTGCCTGAATCTTTCAATTTTAACTGCCTGGTTAATCGAACATTTCACACTACTGCTAAGTACTAAACTGTAGGCCTGTGCATAGTGATAACGCAGAAATTCCTGAGCTTTTCTGCTGTACTTGCAAGTCTCGTTCGACTTTTACCTAAGGCATTTTTTGGTGAGTAAACGTAGTTGCGCGTTCAGTTTGAACGGCAGCATTTTTGCTGTGCTTTGTGCCACGCCGAACGAGAAGTAAAAATGGAAGTCATCCGTTAGCTCAACCAATTAGATTCGCTCATTTCTAAGGGTAGGTGAGGCATTATATACATGACCTTTTTTTAAATTATTGTAGGTTTTTAGATTATTCAAGTGATCAAAAAAAAGCGCTATAAACAGAGAACAAAGTCATCGAAAGTTAATACTTTCTTTCATAGATAATCTTTGGTTTCTGTTGGCTATCACAAAATTACAACTTGAAAGCTAGGTGAACGCCATGAAAAACTAAAAAATGACACTGATTTTAGTGTCAATAGGGTGGCAGCAAAAGAGGCAACAGGCCTCAGCCTACGGGAAAGAAACACTGAATCAGAAATGAATACAGTTCTTATGAATTCAGTACTTACAATCATCTTTTGCAATCAAAATAAAACTTGGAGAGTAATACATAATAGAAA